CTTGGTCTAAAATGCTGACAATTTCCCAGTTACAACTATGGTTAAGTCTGTCCATGTGTTGTGAGATTAAGGAGATTTCATCATGTCTTCTGACAGCTAGTTGGTGCTCGTGGATGTGCTCTGCTAGTCTTTGATCACCAGGGTCATCTATCTCAGCTGGTATTTGGGAGTATTCCTAGAGGATATTCCAGAGGGATCTTAATTAAAAAAAAAAAAAATCCATGAACCAAGGCTCCTCCTGTGATCTCCTGCAATTAATGTTCTCTCGCCCACTAATTTTCTGGTAATTTTATATTGAGTTGTTGGTTAATTTGTTATGTTATTTTACACTGTATTAATTTAATATTAAAACTGAAATTGAAGATGATGCCTCCTGATTATAGAAGTCTGTTTGTATGTATGTGTATGTGAATACACACACACACACCAATAGTCAGGCCCCATAGACAGTTTATTATATAAGTTACATTAAATGTTTGAATTGGTTGCTATTTTCTCCTAAACACTTCCTTACTTGTTTGACACATGACCTTTGAACATTTCTAAGTACAGTAACACTTTCTCTGAAAAAAAAATTAATAAAACATATCGTGATGAGCCTATGGGGCCTGTCTTTTGTACACCCTGTGTGTGCATATTTAACTAAGCAGTGCTTAAGAGATTCTGCAATCTGTTAAAAGTACAATCAGGGAGTCACTGAGGCATCCGCAGCCGCTGGGATGAGGGAGGATGATCCAGCCACATCCACGCCTGCCTGGTTAGGCCCTGTACAGCTGGCCGACACTGACTAATCTCTGGGCCAGTGACCAACAATCAGTCCACTTCAACAACCCTCTTTCTTTTCAGAGCTTTGCAATGAAGCCGTGTAAGCTTGCTACATTGACTGGGGCAATCTTTCCCACTAAATCAAATAATGCAGTTCTGCTGTGCTCTCCTATATCTTTTTGGAAGCCTGAAGCACATTTTTTTAAAGAGGGATAACAGGTATGAGAGGGACTCAGAAAACATAGCACTGAGGTGGGAAGTGGTGGGACAGACCTGGCTGTCATAGAAGTTAACTAGTGATCAGAAGGGAGGGGGTATGCCTGTGTCTCCCAGCATATCCCCCAGCATCCCTTTGATCACACTAGCAACAGGTCACCTGATAAGACCACCACACCACACCACACCAGGATAAGAGGGGGCGAAACATTACAGAGCTTAGGCACTGTGGTGGGACCACTGGAGATTAAATGGGGGAAGCTACTTTTGCAGTGCAAAATGTGATGCTGTAAGACTGTTTAAATTACAGGCTAGGGTTACCAGGCTAACATCACTGTATGGTCAGGAGGAAAACATGGGGGTGCCAGGGTATTATGGTTCCACTGTAAACCACAAGTGGGACAGGGCCTCTACCTCTGTCCTAAATCTTTTATCACCCAGACTCAGTCTTAGCTCACAAAGTGACTCAGGGTCAAGTATCAACTCCTTAATATTTCTCTGAGTCTTTTCTTGCAAATTGACTCTTCTCTACCTTTATACCATCAGTCCTAATTCTGAGTCATCTTCATTTGCTAGAATCAGCTGCTAGGGCTCAAGAATTGTGACATCCTGTAGAGAGACAATCTATCAAAATTTATCCACTTCTGTTTCAAAGCAGTACCGATCTTTGCATACAAAACAGGAACTCTTGGAAAAATGCATGTAATCTCTTCCCATTAGCCCCTGTTGACTGATCCATCTCTTGAAGCATTGGGGAATTATAGTCCTTTTCATATATCTGTTATATGAGGCCTGTCATTGATTGCATTTCTTATACCCAAGAAGATCTAAATCTAGATCAATGACCATCTGTTTCCTCTAACCACCAAGGAAAACAGTTCTAACACCAACAGTCACTGCTACTGGGAGGGATTCACCATACCATTAATTCCCAAAGGCTTTCTGAAATGGTGCAAGTCCTCTCCTTGAGGGGCTGCTGTCATCAGCAACCACAAAGGAATGTCATTTCTGTAGCTGCCCCTCTCCTTTGGAATAGTGCTCCACTTGAAGTCAGGTCAGCACCAAACTTGTTGTCATTCAGAAACACTGAAAGTAAATGCCTGCTTCTACATCTTTTTCATATGTCCTGGACAGGTCAGCTTATCTATAGCTATTAATTTTTTATATTGTTTGGTAAATTTGGAGACATTCTCATTGTTGGTTCTTTTTAATGCTGTTGAAAGCTTGCAAAACTAAAAAGTTGTTGATAATTAACTTGCTATGCAACAAATTGGGGAAAGACTCTTGCATTATCCTTAGATGAGTGCCTGAGTGCCTGAAGATTGCAGAATCAGACAAAAATAGTCAAATAGCCCAAAGTCATTGTTAGCTGAAATAATAATGAGGCATGTACAACTGAACAAGAATTACTTTTTAATGTAACAGGTGTGGTAAGGATTAAGCACTTTTTAATAATTTTGAAAAGAAATAATTACATTATACGAAATTAAACAAAATGGGGCTTCAGCCGACATATTGAAGGGAAAGGCCAACATATTAGAAAAGGATCAGCCTATCTTCAGACTTCAGATTCTCTGACAGTGATCTGGAATGAGTTAATCTATTGTAATATATTCCACTCCAAAGGGATGGCAAGTTGGGGTTGGGAAAGATTGATGACCGGCAAGCCCCAGATTTTGAGAGGAAAGAGGATATAGAAGTTCTTAGTCACATCATTCATCAACTTTGCGATCCATGTGAATTGCCATCTTGCTGATAAGTGTGGGAGCTGTTATTTCATGCCATCCTTATCTGTGCATTCATGTTATCTGCTCAAAGAATTACAAGATGGGAATTATCTTATTGGGTTGGGAAGACATGCCAGAGCAGGATCAAGTGAGAGGTCTTCCTCATGGTTTCTCCTGGGGCTCAGTCCCATAAAACCAGTGGACTGAAATTTCAAGTGTGAATAATAGAGCTGTGGAAGAAGCGCTATCTTGTGCTTGGAGGTGACAAAGGTTTAGACTGCCTTGGGGAGGTAGGTGGCAATATTACTAAATGGTGATGTATGACAGTTGATGACGTTTGGAGTGATTGCCTGGTTGTGGGTGCTACCAAAGTTTGCATGGCCGTGACAGATGATTGCCCTCTGATGGAAGATGTTGCCTGTGGTGGCTGCCCAGTAGCTGTAAGTATTACATGCTGTGGCTCTGGAGTTTGGGAAAAGGGTTTTGTTGCTACCATTGTTTCAGAGCTTTTTTTGGTTGTGGAAGAGGTAACAGATGGTGACTTAAGTGTTGTTATGGAAGTTACAGATGATTGCTGTTGAGGTGTGAAAGAGAGTTTGGTTGATGCCTTCCCAGCAGTTGTAGACCATCCTGGAATGGAAGATGCTTCCTGTGGCAACTGGCCAGAACTCGTTGGTGCCGCATGCTGTGGTTCTGTGGTTGGGGAGAAGGATGCAGATGTTATAGGTGATGATTCATGGGCTGTTGTAAGAATTACATTATTTGCCTCTTGGGCAGGTTTTGCTATTTCTGAGGAATACAAAATAGAATTCTTTGTAGTTAGAGACACTACACTAAGTTGCTCTGCAGTTTGGGTTAATGAGTATATGGTTGTCATGGTTCTTTCTAGCTGTGGTGCTTCAGTTATTGTGATTGTTTCCAGTGCTGGAGGGTTGGTAGGTGGAGGTGCAATGGTGGCTGCTGTAGTTGCTTCCTGTGATGGCAGATTGGATGATGGAAATTGAGTGGTGGTGGTTGTAGCTGTTTCCACTGGTGGTAGTTTGGTTGCTTCTGTTATTGTGATTGTTTCCAGTGCTGGAGGTTTGGTTGGTGGAGATGCAGTAGTGGTTGCTGTAGTTGCTTCCTGTGACGGCAGATTGGTTGATGGCAATTGAGTGGTGGTCGTTGTAGTTGTTTGCACTTGTGGCAATGAGGCTGTTATGGCTGCTTCTGGTGGTGGCAGTTTAAATGTTTGTTCTGCAACTGGAAGTGTTACAGGCACTTGGAGGGCTACTGATGGTGTTTGAACTGTTGGTGGTTTCAATAATGTTACAGGTTGCTGTCCAGCTGCTGAAGGTAATTTATCTTCTGGCTGGAGAGGATTCTCTAAGGCTCCCACTTGCTTCAGCCACTGTAGATGGGATAAAAGCTGAGAAGCCAGGATAGGGACTGTGCAGTTGTGCAAGCTCTGACTTACAAGGCCCATCACCTCCCAATCCCAGGTAGCTGGATCTTGACAGATCACGGGACTGCCCACTGGCACCTGAAAAGAGGAGAGGACATGAGAATCAGCCAGGCAAGGTGACCATGGAGGTAGATCCTAACATTTGGATATTAGAAATATAAATATAAAATATTGGTGTATCTCTCCTGGTGGAACACCTGCATATCCGAGCTATTCTGTATATCTGAGATCTGGATGCCCTAACCCTGCTAGCCTTTTGTAAGGCATTAAAGACTTGGCTGTTCCCCCAGGCATTTGGGCTGGGAGGTTACTTTGATTGATTCTTATTGGTTCTTATTGTTTTTTTCCCCCCTATTGTAAGTTGGAACTTTTTTTGGGGTGTGTGTGTGACATTAATTACTTGGATTGTTGGTTTTAATTCTTGTACACCATCCAGAGTTGCTGCTGTGAGATGAGTGGCCATGCAGGTTGTTTAAATAAATTAAATAAATAATTCTGCCATAGAATGTCATAGTGGTGCTGTATTCTGCAGTGTTACAAAGCTTCTGTTATATTCTATGTGCTTCCCTTCATCCAGCTAATGTCAGGCATAGGATTGTTTGCTTATCAAATCCTATCTACTTCTATAAGAATAGATAATTGACTCGGTGATTCAGAATGGCTCTATAGCTAGAAATCCAGAAATAGTGCTGGAGATAAATGAAGAGGACCTCCCTTGCTCTTTGAAATAATAATGATGAGTTTCTTTATGCCATAGAAAATAGAACAGTAGAAAATCCTGGAAAGCAAAGAGGAAATATTTTCCCCATTTACAGTCCAAAGGAATCCATTCATTTGGGTTACCTTGCAAGATGTAAGTTTGGGAGATTCCTTTTTTGTAACACACAAGTTCCGCCTTTCTGTAGTGTCAGGCCAATGCTTGGAGCAGTCAGATATGCTCAAAGCCTCCACCATGGTCTCCTTTAGGAACCATCTCATGGATCCTGTGGAGAAGGAGAGAAGATTCTCAACTAGTCTAATTTAGTTCATGGGATTCACCACACAGCTTCTTTCGTCTCCGTCTGTATGCAGGAATGTGGATTTAGAATATGTAAACAATTTTTGAAAACTCATATTCTTGAATGCTGAAAGAACTGCTTGTTCTCTCCTCTAGCTTCTCAATATATGTTTTAAAATATCCTCATAGCCATAAAGGCAGTAAAAATTAAGTAATTAATTCTCTCTGGTTGTATCTCACAGATGTGCCAGAGACCAAATCCAGTCTGTAGTCTGCTAGGTTAAGAAAAACAAACGTCACCTTTATGCTGAAAACTTTGACCCATAGCCTTAGGTCAGTTTGCTAAATAAGCAATAGTCTCCTAAACCATGATACAGCACTTCTAAACTCACCCTGTTGGCCTCGTTCGAAAATCCTACATTCTTCCTGTGTATTGTATGGTTTCTCTTCCTGAGGGATACAAGCTGGCCACGTGTTGTTTGTTCTTAAATTAACTGGCTGGCCAAGCAAGATGAGTCCCAGATCATTATTGGGTGCTTTATTCCAAGAACTGAAGCCCCGATGTAGCAGGAACTGACTCACTGTCTTGGTAGAGAAATGCCCAGGAGATCCAGTCAACTCTACTTGGCTCGGATTCCTGCAAGGCAAACATAACAGCTCGTTTTAATTCAATCCAGGGATTTGGTTCTGTAATCCTCAACTGCAAGACCTTCTGATAGAGTGGAAGATGTTGAGTATTATCTTCTCCAGTAGAGTCACCCATTTCAAGGGCAGAGCTGGAAAAAAATTGTTGCAATTTCTCTCCATACTCACATCAGCAAGAAGCAATTGGCTGCTGTCAGGACCCACAGACTGCTTAGGATAATTCCTTGGCATCTCTGGCCATTGCCATAGATGTTCACGAGCCATGGGGCTTCTGGGGCTTCACTGTGTTCTGCGGACAGGTTATCAGTTTTATCCGGTTTGGGATCTGAGTACTGAAGGCCACAAACTGCAGAGGAAATGCATACAGATATACATACCCAGCACATTATTCCCTTTTGGGTATGCAACATTTCTGGGGCAGAAATAGAGTGTAAGTAGTAATAAACAAAGGAAATTAGAGACAACAGATAAGAGGCTCATAGATATGGCTTCCACTGCCCATCATGGCTTTGGTCAATCAAGGCTTTCACTCTTCAGGTTTTTTAGTAAGACAGAGAAGAGATAGTGGAGTCCTTGGGGCTCTCTGAGCTTGGTTGTTTTCTTGCAGATGGTTCATTACCAGACTAGGTAACATCTTCAGTGCATCTTCAGAGAAGAGATAAACTAGGTTGCCAGTATTTGTCCTACCCATGCTTATAGGAAGGACAGCATTGGTTAGTTTGGGCATATTGTGGTCAATATGCCACAAATGTAACCAAAGCCTAGTTTGATCCCAAGCATGTTCACCTTGTTCTATGCCAGGTAAACCTTCTAACCTAGAGGCTGCCTTACCTACATCCCATCAGCTAGGAGATGCATGCAGTAACACTCAGGATACCCAGAGGATACAGAGGAATAAAATAAAATCCTGCATCCAGACTTCCATGCTACAGTGTAATAGAAGCTCCTGGTCTTGTCAATGTGCTGGTTACTCAGCTGGCAAGAAGTGAAATTGGTAACAGCCCTTCAGTCATTCCTCAACTCTCCAAACCATGAGCTAACGCAATGCTGTCTTTAAATGTGTGAGCCGCCCTGAGTCACGTATGTAAGATGGGCGGCTATATAAATTGAATGAATGAATGAATGCTGCATTCCCTCTTTCAATAATGTGTAGGTAAATCAAAGTAAAATGCTGGTAGTGCAAACTAACTCCGTGTGGTATAGTTTTTAAATTTTGCTTTTAATGGAGTACTGGTTTCTAAACAAGAGTTTATTGCCATCATCTTAGTGCCCATACTTGCATCTTCCTACTCAAACATACCACTTCATCCCAGCACGTTCTGAGTTTTTCCACAAAACCTCCCTCTCTTCTCAGTCCTGGGAAAAGACTCAAGAGTACTGTTGCTTACAGTTAGAGAAGGTGAAGGACAGAAACAGTGGGAAGAGGATACACAGCCCAAAGAGATGGTCCATCCTTCCTTTCTGTGACAGAAGAAGGTGAGGGAAAAGCTGAGAAGTCTGAGATGGAACCTTTGAGCTCACAAATGATTAATTTGTGACCTCAGCTATGTGGAGCTCTAACATCATTTTGTGCTTCTGCCAGTGCCAGTCTTCAGGTAATCCCTAGTCCTAAATTGCAGCTCCTTATCAACACTCTTGTTTCAAGGGTGCTCCTATTACCAGCATACCAATTCATTCTTCTGCCTACACTATCCCATCACCATATATGCCTATATCTATGTCTGTGTCTGTCTATGCCTGTATATTTCACAGTGTTGTAAAAGTAGGGGTTAAAAACATGATATATGGTTCTGCTATGCTGCCAAGTAAGGAATATCTGTAATTTAAAAGAAGGCATATTGTTGAAACATGAATATAGTAGTACTGAACTAGCATGCTTTTGCTGGATTTGTACCTGTTCACTGACAATCTTCTCTAGCTTTTGACCCAACTTTTTCATTGGCTAGGAATACATGAAGGTATGTGGGTTTTCACTAGACAGATTGTTAAGTGTGACATTATTGTATTCTTCCAGTCATATCAGCCAGGCCAAAGTTCTGCTTTTCTCAGATGCCCAGCAGGCTGCACATTTGTTCCAAGATACAAGCTGTTTCAGGGTCAGCTATAGTCTATAAAACACAATACATTTTCCCCAAACACATTAGTGAAATAACATATGTTGGAATATCAACTTCTAAGCTCCATATTTTGCAACTTCTTAATACGTTTAGTTCCTTGCTTATTTTAAGGATTACCGTGTTGTTAATGATCATCCAGGGCTGTCAACTTTCCAGCCAGACTCTGAATCAGTGATTGAAGCAGCTGCTTGGTCTTTTGAAGTGTAGATATTTCAACATTTTGGGGGCAGCAAAAAGGTGGTCATTGCTTTTCTGGCCATCTGGCAACGCTCTTGCAGAGTAAGTACATGCAGTATATATCAGTGTAACTTTATAAAAAGGCAAATAAGAAATGCCACCAATATAAAGCTGTGTCACCATTTGCTTTCTGCTTTAAGTAGTTCTTCGGGTTATGTCATGTCTTGACTTCCAGGGAAATAATGGCAAACTGAAGACAGCTCTGCTGAGAGCAGAGCTGACTACTGTGGCAGAATGAAGAGCTGGTGAATGGACCAGCTTCTTGGAATTCCTCTCCGGACAAGGAGAGGACTCGGGATTGCCCACTCATGCGCTAGACAGCAGCTCCTTGTGTAAAGCAGCAGTCTCCAGCAGGTTTAGAGCTCTGGGAGAATTGTCATTTTCGCCTTTCAAAAGGACACTGGGGTTGCATACTTCCTTTCTTAATCACTTCTGGAAATTGCTTGTTAACTTTTTTTGGATATTAAGAACCTTCAGAATGGCAAATTTCATTACACTGGGTGAGTTTCCTTCAATCCTTAGCAAAAGACATTTTATGCAAGTTTAAGGACTTAAAAAAATCTTATTTTGGAATAAACAGCAAAAGGATGATTAGAAAGTTGATTTTGGAAAGTTATAAACAGACTAAGGGGCCAGATGGATTTGAAAGAAGAAATAAGATTTTGAAATTAAGTACAAGAAACCTTTTCATGGGAAAATGTTGATTAGAAAAAAAACATGATAAGGTGAGACTTTGAAGGTTGGACAGAAATTACTCTTATCTGCTATTATAAAAATGGATTTAAAAGAGGTTATCGAAGAGGAACAGATTTTACTGGACAAAACAGACTGAGGCTGACTCGGATGTGAATCTGAAAATGGATTTAAAAATGACGGGCTATAAGAATGATGTGGAAAAAGATGTTACACTGGATTTACAAATGAAACTGGTTGATGTCTAAATAATTAAAAGGGATATATAAATAACAAACCAGGAGA